TTTTTGACAGGCAGAGTGGACAGTGAGAGAGAGAGAGAAAGGTCTTCCTTTACCATTGGTTCACCCTCCAATGGCCGCTGCAGCCAGCGCGCTGCGGCCGGCGCATTGCGCTGATCTGAAGCCAGGAGCCAAGTGCTTCTCCTGGTCTCCCATGCGGGTACAGGGCTCAAGGACTTGGGCCACAGCAGAGAGCTGGACTGGAAGAGGGGCAACCGGGACAGAATCTGGTGCCCCGACTGGGACTAGAACCTGGTGTGCTGGCGCCACAGGCGGAGGATTAGCCTAGTGAGCCGCGGTGCCGGCCTAAAAATTTTCAATATATTACAAATATTCTAATGATTTGTCATTGTTTATACACACACACACACACACACACACACACCTTTATTTGATTTATTTGAAAGGCAGAGTTACAGAGAGGCAGAGAGAGAGCGAGGTCTTCCATCTGCTGATTCACTCCCCAATTGGCCGCAGTGGCTGGCGCTGCATCGATCCGAAGCCAGGATCCAGGAGCTTCCTCCGGGTCTCCCATGCAGGTGCAGGGGCCCAAGCACTTGGGCCATCTTCTACTGCTTTCCCAGGCCATAGCAGAGAGCTGGATCAGAAGTGAAGCAGCCAGCATTTGAACCGGCACCACCTGCCAGCACTGCAGGTGGCAACTTTACCCACTACACCACAGTGCTAGCCCTAATGTATTTGTTTTTAAAAATCTAAGAAGCAGATGGAAGATCTCCCTTCTCTCCCCCCCGACCTCTGCCTTCCAAATGAATAAACACAAATAAATCTTTAAAAATAAACATTGAGTGTGCACAGGTAGCAGGTGCTCTCCAAAGCACCAGGGACAGATCTCTGGACAAATGAAAAAGCACAGTTCCTGCTCTCAAGGGGCTTATGTTCCAGTCCAGGGGAAGCAGACATGAAGCCAGCAGGGAGCAGAGGTTTCAAACACACCTGGCCCAAGGGAATGGTAAATATCTGGGTGATGGCCATGCCAATCACATACTAGCTTTGTGGATGTGTGACATCACACCCCATAAAGATGCATGGTAATTATGTGGCAATTAAACATTTTTAAATATTAAAATAAATTCACTTTTTTTAAAAAAATCAAGAAGGAAAATAAGGCTAGGTGAGGAGGTGGATGGAGGTGACGGGGGCTTCATGGAGACTGGTCATGGATGATGGCTCTGATACCGTGCCCTCCAGTTAGAATGAGCAGCCAGCACACACCTGCTGCCCAGGAGTGCACCCAGCATGTCCTGGCAACCGGGAGATTATGTGCCAGAGCTCCATGGTTAGGTCCCAGGGAAGCAAGAGACCACGAGAGAAGGAGTGGGGCTGGGTCTTGAAGGCATCACTGGCCATTTCTGCAACTTTGCTTTCTACTATGAATGATGGGGAGGGTATAAAGCACAGAAGTACTGTGTCTTGTGTGTTAAAAGGACGGCTAGGGTCCTGCTGAGAACAGAATGTAGGGCACAATGACAGACACTAAGGAGCTGGACAAGGAAGGGGTGGGGGGGGGCGGTGCCCAGCTTGTGAGTCTCGGTGGGAAGAGGATGATCAAAGTGACAGCGTCTCACCGAGGACCGGAGCGTGGAACGTGAGAGAAGGAGGCTGCAGGAGTGATGTCATGGGCTGTGGTCTGAGCCCTCGGAAGCTCAGAGCTGCTGCTTACTCCCATGGGAAGACTCAGGAGGGGCAGGTGTGCAGTGAGGGAGATGGAGGCGAAGGAATCAAGGTTTGGTGTGGGACTTGTTGCAGTGGAGGCAGCACTGGGACATCCACAGGCCACAAAGGCAGCCAGAGGAGTCCTGGTTGGAGCTGGAAATGTGGCCATCATCTATGTGAGCTATGAAGGCTGTAAGAAAACACGCTGTCGGTTGGAGCAATGACTCTCAACAGAGGTGGTGCCGGGCCTTGGAGAGTGTGGGAAATCTGAGGCTGCATTTCTGGTTGTCACCCCGGTTGGACATGCGGCTGGTACTTAATGAGCGGGAGGAGGGGAAGTCCACACGTCTCCCAATGCACAAAGCACTGCACCCTCCGCCCATTCAATTATCACAGATTCTGCAGATGTTCTGGGGGCAAAACCCAGTCCCTATCATCTGAGCCTAAAGCCTCCCTTCATTTTACGTAGCAAACAAGGCCCCTCGTGCACAGCTCTGAGATAACGCTGAGCTTGCTAAGAATACACTCAGCCTGGTAAAACAAGGGAAGATACGGCTGCACTCAGCTTGCTTCAGACCTCAGCAAGAGCAGTCACCATTTCAAAACCGTCAGGCACTGTCTTAGCAGCGCCCTTCCTGATATCTGAATCATGGACAAGACAAGCCTGACCCAGGCTGCACTGTCAGGAGCACAGAGGGTCCTCACACATAGTCAGGCGCAGGCATTATTTTTTTAATTGTTTATTTGAAAGGCAGATGACAGAGAGAAAGGGATAGATTGTGTAGGGTGGGAAGAGGGGAGAGAAAGGGTTTTTCATCCATTGTTCATTCCCCAAATGGCAGCAAGAGTCAAGGCTGAGCCAGGCTGAAACCAGGAGCCAGAAACTCCATCCAGGTCTTTCAAGTGTTTGAATCAAGTGTTGCTTCCCAGGCACATTAGCAGGAAGCTGGACTGGAAGCCGAGTAGCCAGGACCCAAACCCACATTCTCATGAGGCTTGACTCACTGTGTCACAATGCCTGCCTCAACGCATTGGTAGATGGAAATGCATGTTATTTGATACTTTTGATTACTTAGAGTCAGAATAGTATATTGATTTTTTCAGAAGTATTACGGGGCTTCAAAAAATTAATGGAAAGGGAGAATTAAATGATAAGTCTATTTAAGTGCTAAAACATTTTTGAAATCCATGTACATGAGGGTCTTCAAAAAATTCATGGAGATGTGTATCACAGAAACACCAAGCATGGTAAGGTTCTTCACTGAGAGCCGGTGGCTTCCTGTATCAGCTATGCTTGGACTGTACCCAGCACCTGCCTGGGGCATGACAGCCATGTCTCCCCCTGCACATGAGCCAGAACCGCCACTAGGGTCCAAGGCTGCTGTCAAGCACAGAACAACCTGGAGCCCTGTGCCTCCTGCATCTCCCTGTCCACCACCTCTTGTCACTCTGACCCCAACGACATGGCTTTGAACCATTCTCCTGAATACTTTCTCCGTCCATCTCACACAGGGAGAGAACAGGCTGAGATACTGGGGGAGCTGCAGACCCAGCCCCTCAAAGACAATAAGGAACCCAACCATGAGGACTAAGAGGATGGGCTGAATGCAGGGGTCTGGGTGTTATACTTGGGAGGAAGGTGTGGCTCGGTCACTCACTGCTGGACCTGCACAAACCCCCACACGCCGGATGACCCCGCTTGTGTGGCTTCATTGAGACGCATGATCTGAATGAGCAGGTGAAATTCTCCTCCTTCTCTAAGATCAGGTGACCACATAACTGACTTGTGCAGGATGGGAACCCCTGGATCTGGCGTGGCAGAATATCTCCATGACAAGCACAGCCCGAGAGACAGTGATGATGAGAGCCAAGCCAAGGTGGACTTCCCTGGGCACCACGGCAGTGCGGGTGTTTTGGGGCTACCTTTGCTTTTTCTGTGAGTTATAACAAAACATCCAGTTAAGTTCTTCAGTTTGCACTGTTCCTTTAAATAAAGAAACTGCAGGGCGGAGGGGGCAAGCGTTTGTCCTAGTGGTTAAGATGCTGGTTGAGAAATCTGATCCCGTACTAGAATGCCTGGTTCAAGTCCCAGCTCTGCCCCTGACTCCACCTTCCTGCTGATGCAGACCCTGGGAGTCAGCAGGTGATGCCTCAAGTAGTTAGGCCCCTGCCACTTAAGTGCAAGACCTGGATTGAGTTCCCAGATCCTGGCATCAGCTCCAGACCTGGCTTCAGCTCCAACCCTGTGGCCACTGAAAGCATTTAGGGAGTGAACCAGTATATAGGAGCTCTGTCTGCCTCTCAAATAAATCAAAATTTTAAAAAAATTTGGTACCCTCCCCCTGCCACAAAAGCTATGCATAGGCTTCAAAAACATTTGCACCAGGGCTGGCGCTGCGGCTCACTAGGCTAATCCTCCGCCTAGCGGCGCCGGCACACCAGGTTCTAGTCCCGGTCGGGGCGCCGGATTCTGTCCTGGTTGCCCCTCTTCCAGGCCAGCTCTCTGCTGTGGCCCGGGAGTACAGTGGAGGATGGCCCAGGTGCTTGGGCCCTGCACCCCATGGGAGACCAGGAAAAGCACCTTGCTTCTGGCTCCTGCCATCGGATCAGCGCGGTGCGCCGGCCGCAGCGCGCCGGCCGCGGTGGCCATTGGAGGGTGAACCAACGGCAAAGGAAGACCTTTCTCTCTGTCTCTCTCTCTCACTGTCCACTCTGCCTGTCAAAAAAAAAAAATTTGCACCAAAATAAATTTATCTTTTAATAGAATTTTCCATGAACTTTTTGAAGCACCCTCATATGCGTGCAAGCAGGTGATATTTTCTACACATTTCATCTCAGGGCAGCAAAGGAGGTATTGGGAGAGCCTCTGACGCAGGCAGTGGATGTAGCTACAGAGATGGTTCCTAGGACTGTGCCTGGACCCACCCAACATGAGAGAACCAGGGGATGAGGAGCAAGGAGAAAGCAAGAAGAAATCCTTTGCTGGAGGCTGTTGCTGATGCTGCTGACAGGTCAAACAAGGACTGGCGGGTTTGCAGAAATCCCAGGTGACTTGGTGGGTGGGGGGGTGTGCTGGGTGTGAAACTGCCTGAGGCAGCTATGCAACCGAGGGTAGAGGCCCTCAGTTACCGAATTAAACATTTCACGCCCCTGAGATGTCCACTACCACCATCCGCTCAGTTCCTGGAGGTCAAGACATGCTGGTTCGTCCTAGGACTCTCCTTCCCTGCCCCAAGAAGCCACCAATTGACTAAGCTTCCCTCTCCAAGGCTCCCAACCCAGGGCTTTCAGAGCACCCATGGCCCTGCCCTGGGCATCCCAGGCTATACCTTGCTGAGTCGGGACTCAAATGCCAAGGAGGTTGAAGACTTGGAGCTCTTCATGCCGGTCGAGGCTGCAGAGAGGGGCCGTGCCCGCTCGGGGACATGGCTCCCCGCTCTGACCACGGGACTCCAGGGCTTGGCTGCACTCCTCATGTTGGTCCTCGTGGGGCTGTCCTTCTGTGGAAGAGCAGGAAAGAAAAACGTGTCTTTACATCATGCACCTGCCGAGCGAACATTTGGAAAGCCTTTCCCCACCCCCCACACTCATCACTGCTATTACAGAAAACAAGCGCTGACGATTTGGCTGGAAATTGAACATTCTGCTCTCAAGATGATACCTTAGTACTAGTCTCTTTTTTTAACATTTGTTTTATTTATTTTAAAGATAGAGTTGAAGAGAGAGAGAGAGAGAGAGAGAGAGAGAGAGAGATCTTCCATTTTGCTGGTTCACTCTCCAAATGGCTGCAACAGCCGGGGCTGGGTCAGATGGAAGCCGGGAGCCAGGAGTCAGGAGCTTCATCAGGATGTCCTATGTGGGGGTAGGGACCCAAGCACTTGGGCAGTCTATTCTCTGCTGCTTTCCCAGGCCATTAGCAGGGAGCTGGCTTGGAAGTGGAGCAGCAGGGACTCGAACCAATGCCCATATGGGATACTGATGTTGCATGCAGTGGTTTAACGACTACGTCACAGTGCTGGGCCCTATTAGACCGATTTTACAACATCACACAGCTTCTACCAAATTATTGAAACGTGTGTAATATTGATGATTATTTGATATTTTTTCAGCAAAATGATAGCTTCTTCTTGGTCACAGACTTTTTTTTTTTTTTTTTTGACAGGCAGAGTGGACAGTGAGAGAGAGAGAGAGACAGAGAGAAAGGTCTTCCCTTGCCGTTGGTTCACCCTCCAATGGCTGCCGCGGCCGGCGCACTGCGCTGATCCGATGGCAGGAGCCAGGTGCTTCTCCTGGTCTCCCATGGGGTGCAGGGCCCAAGGACTTGGGCCATCCTCCACTGCACTCCCGGGCCACAGCAGAGAGCTGGCCTGGAAGAGGGGCAACCGGGACAGAATCTGGCGCCCCGACCGGGACTAGAACCCGGTGTGCTGGCGCCGCAAGGCAGAGGATTAGCCTAGTGAGCCGCGATGCCGGCTGGTCACAGACATCTAACACAGTATTATACCATATCTCAACACACACATATACATATGAGGGTACTTCAAAAAGTCCACAGGAGTGGACATTTGGCACAGCAGGTAAGATGCCCACATCCCTTACTGGAGTGCCTGGGTTTGAATCCCAGTTCTGCTCCTGATTCCAGCTTCCTGCTAATGTAACACCCTGGGCAGTAGCAGCTGATGGCTCAAGTAATTGGGTCCCTGCCTCCCATGTGGGAGACTCATACTGAGCTCCTGGCTCCTGGCTCAGCTTGGTCCAGCCCTGGCTGTTGAAGCTTTGGGAGCAGTGAACTAACAGATGGGAGATCTCCCTCTGTCTGTCTTCCTTTCAAATAAATCAACTAATTTTTTAAAAAGTTAATGGAAAAATGAAATAAAAAAGATAAGTATATTTTGGCACACAAAAAAATTGAAAGTCATGCATAGTTTTTTCCTAAGATGCATATTGTTAGTAAAATGGCACAGTCTTATCTATGGCGCGATCTATACCCCGGACACCATCCTAGGCTCTAGTCCCTGCCGGCCGCCGTGGCTGGAAGCCAGGTGACTCCACGGCCCAGCTCCACCCCCATCTAATGGGGTTCCTGCCCCACCCCCGCAAAGCTTTAAGAGGACTTGTTCCTGAACACGTGGCGCTCTCTCTCTCTCTCCTGATCTCTCTCCCTCCCTCTCTCTCTCCATCTCTCTTGATTTCTCTCGTATGCTATCCTTCTCCCTCTTTTCCTTCTTCTCCCCTTCCCTCTGGTCTGTCGGGTTTCCCCCAATAAACCCTTTCCATTGCTCTGGTGTTTGGTGTGTTTTGTGGCGGCCTTACACATATTCCATGAACTTTTGGAAGAATCCTCCTAGATACACACACACACACACACACACACACACACACGTCAGCTTGAATTCAGACATAAAACGTCCTTAAGCTTTGCAGCTTTAGGGCTGACAAGGGAACCATCAAACCAGCATAAAGGAATTACTTGCACATTATATTTTTACAGAAGCACAAAATGACTTTTTTCTTCTTTTGGATAAAAACGATATCACTTAAAAATTAATAGAGCCTAGTTTAATTGGCCCTACCTGATATACAGAGTCACTGCCTTAACTAAATTATTTTAAGAAAGAAATGGCTCAAAGCGACAGGATGGAGCTAAAGAGCTAAAGGAAGGAAGCAAAACTCAGGGCGGCCTGAGTTTTGCCATCAGCTGTCATTCCAGAGCAAGGAGCAGCTGACCCCTCCCTCACCTCCCATCAGCACTGGATTAAATGCCCTAGATGGTCTCATGAACTCCATCCCTGCCCCATTACCCTTGGGGACTCTAATGGTCAAGGCTGACACAAAGGACACTCAAACCACAGTGCTCCCTCTTTCTTTTTCTTTTTTTTTTTTTTAATTTATTTTTTGACAGGCAGAGTGGACAGTGAGAGAGAGAGACAGAGAGAAAGGTCTTCCTTTTGCCATTGGTTCACCCTCCAATGGCCGCCGCGGCTGGTGTGCTGCGGCCGGCGCACCGCGCTGATCTGATGGCAGGAGCCAGGTACTTATCCTGGTCTCCCATGGGGTACAAGGCCCAAGCACTTGGGCCATCCTCCACTGCACTCCCTGGCCACAGCAGAGAGCTGGCCTGGAAGAGGGGCAACCGGGACAGAATCCGGTGCCCCGACCGGGACTAGAACCCAGTGTGCCGGCGCCGCAAGGTGGAGGATTAGCCTAGTGAGTCGCGGTGCCGGCCTCAGATATGCACTTTTAGGGGCTGGTGTTATGCTGCAGTGGGATGAACTGTCATCCCATATGGGCACCAATTCAAACCCGGCTGCTCCACTTCCCACCCAGCTCTCTGAACCTGGGAAAGCAGCAGAAGATGGCCCAAGTGCTTGGGCCCCTGCACCTACGTGGGAGATCCTACATAAGCTCAGGCTCCTGCCTTTGGATCAGCCCGCTCTGGCTGTTTTGGCAATTTGGGGAGTGAACCAGTGACAGAAGACCCCCCCCTTTCTCTCTCTCTTTCACCCTCCCTTTCCCTCCCCTCACCCTGTAACTGATTTTTTTCCTTTTTTTTTTTTTAAACTATTTGAAGACAAGTTTTACCGTTAATTCTCATAGTACAATTCATTAAGGACAGAGGTCCTACATGTGGAGCAAGTGCACAGTGACTCCTGTGTAACTGACTTTCAAATAAATAAATCTTGAAAAAGAAATGCACTTTTAGGGCCAGTGGTTAATCCTCTGCCTGCAGCGCCAGCATCCCATATGGGCACCAGGTTCTAGTCCCAGTTGCCCCTCTTCCAGTCCAGCTCTCTGCTGTGGCCCAGGAGGGCAGTGGAGGATGGCCCAAGTGCTTAGGCCCCTGCACCTACATGGGAGACCGGGAGGAGGCACCTGGCTCCTGGCTTCAGATCTGCGCAGCACTGGCCATGGCGGCCATGTGGGGAGTGAACCAGTGCAAGGAAGACCTTTCTCTCTGTCTATAACTCTACCTATTAAAGAAAAAAAAAAAAAGAGAGAGAAAGAGAAAGAAAGAAAAGGGAGGGAGGGAGGGAGGGACGGCGCTGCGGCTCACTAGGCTAATCCTCTGCCTGATGTGCCAGCACCCCGGGTTCCAGTCCTGGTTGGGGTGCCGGGTACTAGTCCTGGTTGCTCCTCTTCCAGTCCATCTCTCTGGCTGTGGGCCCGAGGAGGGCCAGTGGAGGGATGGCCCCAAAGTGTTTGAACCCCTCTCACTCCGCATGGGAGACCAGGAGGAAGTACTTGGCTCCTGGCTTCGGATCAGTGCAACGCGCCGGCCGTAGTGGCCATTAGGGGAGTGAACCAATGGAAGGAAGACGTTTCTGTCTGTCTCTCTCACTGTCTATAAACTCTCTCTCTGTCTGTCTCTCTCACTGTCTAACTTTGCCTGGCAAAAAAATAAGAAAGAAAGAAAAGAAATGCACTTTTAGAAACCCCCACAGCTGACAAGTTCAGTGGCCACTGCCACAGGGAATGAGGATTTAATTAACTCCACCCCATCCCCACCTCCATCAGGAGGATTTAAGCTGATGCTGGGGTTGGGGCGGCGGGGGGAGGGGAGGCTTTTCTCCATCACTGTGTCCCAGGAACAATCCATTAGCCACCCGTGAGAAAAGCAACAGGCGGCTCTCCAGCCTGACTCACTGTTCAGGGAAGAGACAGGGCTCTTCCCAGGGGCCATCCAGTTCCTGCTCCTATGTAAACAAATGATTCGCTGCGGGAATATCCCAGCGGCGACCTGGAGCCCACTGTGCAGCAACTGTGATGGAATTTTTTTTTTTTTTGACCGGCAGAGTGGAAAGTGAGAGAGACAGAGAGAAAGGTCTTCCTTTGCCGTTGGTTCACCCTCCAATGGCCGCTGAGGCTGGTGGGCTGCGGCCAGCGCACGGCGCTGATCCAAAGGCAGGAGCCAGGTGCTTCTCCTGGTCTCCCATGGGGTGCAGGGCCCAAGCACTTGGGCCATCCTCCACTGCACTCCCGGGCCACAGCAGAGAGCTGGCCTGGAAGAGGGGCAACCGGGACAGAATCCGGTGCCCCGCCCGGGACTAGAACCCGGTGTGCTGGCGCCACAAGGCGGAGGATTAGCCTAGTGAGCCACGGCGCTGGCCAGAATATTCTTTCCAAGACTTCAGAATCTGTTTTCCATAAGGTTTATATGATCAGTGCAGCTTGGTTCCAGGTATCATGATTTTCAAAAAAAATTCCGTGTTTTAGAAAGGCAGTTTATTTCTCACATATTTTACTGATGTTTAGCCCTGATTCTTTTTCTTTTTCAACCCATAATTTTATTGCTGGTTTCCATGGCAACAATGAAAGAACGCCTAAGTTAAGACCTATGCAGTAATGAAGTCATTAGGACCCCTTCCCGATAAAAACTGAACTGAGAGAGAATGAGTAGTTCTTGACATGATCTACTAATGGATTTCACCCATAACTCACTACACGGCCAACGGCAACATGTCAGTCTAATGGAGACAACCAGGGTACCCTTCTATGTTAT